TACTCACTGGCGATGCCGGCGAAACGTTTGGAAATGTACCACGTCCACGGTTCAACTTTGGAAATGATCATGCAGACAATCCCCCGGACTAGGTGCGTTCCAATAAGTCTTCCTACCAATATGACCATGTTGCGAAAACAAGGTCAAACAATCTCCCAGATGCGTTCCTCTAAGTCTTCCTAACAATATGACCCTGTTGCGAAAACAAGGTCAAACAACTTAAATATAGTCTTTGAAAGTCGGGAATAGCTAAAGAATATCGGGGAACCCTGATTTAGTATAAAAGTGCATGAAGAAGAGATTCGTTGATAGATCTCACCAGAAGACGATGGCTGATTCGCGTTGCAATGTAGCCGATTGACTTTACTGCGACGTTTAGGTCGACGCAGCCCTCTAGACATCCACCCTCGTTCGGGCTAAAGCAGGTTAATCTCTGATCCATCATATGATGGACACCACCAAATTTGGAACTCATCCTTGCAAAAGTCGCACGTTAACACTAGATCAAGAAGAATGAGTTCCAGCTCTGATGATGTTCATCATATGATGGACGAAAGCTCAGCCCGTTTTCACCCGCGAAGGAGAATGTCTCGTGGATTGCGCCAACCTGAACGTCGTATAAATGCCAAATGGCTACAAAACAACGGGAATAATTTATCATCTTCTGATGAGATCTACATACGAATCACTTCTTCATGCAGTTTCATATGGAATGAAGGTCTTCCCAACAATGTTATTTCATGAGATTCATTGAAACCCGGTTACTTTGAGTCTCTAAAAGCATAGGAATAGCTGAGGATATCTTAAAATCAAGGCTTAAATGCAACTCAGTTAAAATTTTATGAGGCAACCCTCGGGCAAGTGTAGTCCGACAGTTCAATAAGTGAGAGGAACAGCATTATTAGAAAATCACCCTAGCTTTTGCATCAAGTTTGATCAAAATGCACAGTAAAAATTTAAGCAATACCTTCAAGCAAACTAATAAAAACAAAGAAATTAGAGAAAAACACTCCGGTTGTTGATCCTTGGAGAGAAGCAAAATTCGCCTTGATTGCAGGTCCACTCCGAGAGCGTTGTTGATAAACAAACTGAATTAAATAACGTAAAATAGATTAACTAAAAGGAGCCTCATAAAAGACCATTGCTAGATGTACCAAACTTTAAAATTATGGCCAGTTTATCTTTAAAGTAAAAATTCTCAGCGAATTAAATCACAGACGATAGTACCACCATGAATTGAAATGGAATGATTATAAATACCACTTGAGGATACTGAAAACCTCAGGACTAAGTTTGGGTTCATTGCAATAAAACCAGTTAACTGTAGCCCTAATACTTTTTGAGAAATCCAATCTATTTAGATTCATCCATTCAGTTCGAGTAAGTAGGACCTCTCCTGAAATCAAAACAATTCGAAATATTTTATTAGAGCCTCAAGCCAAACGAATCTCGCACACGAACTGACAAAGACCCTCCAGAATACGAAGGCCTTGAAGGCATTTTTGAGAGTTTTACGTAAATATTAAATTAATTGAAAAATTAACTACTGGTGTGTGATATATAAAACTATAATGGGGAAAAAGGTAAAATAGACCATAATTTCCTTCATTTTACACGCGCACAACTAAAAAATGTAATAGAGACAATAACGAAGCAATGCACAAAATCATACTCACGTGCCAAGCTGGAATCTAATGAAGTTCTTGATATTATGAAAAATGACCTTTCCCTCCTCCATTGCAGCCAGGATGGTAGCAAAGTCATCATCGAGGAGAACTATGTCAGCGGCCTCCTTGCATACATCTGTACCGGCCTTGCCCATTGCCACACCTATGTCAGCCGACTTCAGAGCAACAGCATCGTTAACTCCATCGCCAGTCATGGCCACAATAAGACCACGTTGCTGGAAGGCCTGGACGACCAATCGAACAAAAAAAAATAAAGATACATGTTTATTTGGATATTATGGATATCACCTCGATGTAAAGCCATCCACTAGTTTTGATGCTACAAACATAATCAACAAATTGGCAGCAGGCTTTATCAAAACTTCACTTCATTTATATTTAGGCCCAGTCCAAATATTACCGCCAAGACTGATAATTTAACACAAAATGTGAAAAAACATTAGTCCATTGGTTATGAAAAATTTAAAATCAAAAGTTTATGAATAGAAAGGAAGCAATATATTAAAAAAATTAGTCTTTGCATGAAAATTGGGTAACATACAAGTAAAGAATATGCACAGTTTCGTAAGTAAATAGCTAGAAATGAAACAATGGAAGTTAGAGCTGAATGCCTACTCTAGCCCAAAAGTGATAAGTTTTATAATATAAAATTCGCATTAAATGAAAAAGAACTTATCGAAGGTATGAAGACCAAAATGGTGTGGCTTTTTGTGTGGTTGCAGTCTCCTTTCGTTATATATAAGTTGTTTGACCTTGTTTTCGCAACATGGTCATATTGGTAGGAAGACTTAGAGGAACGCACCTAGTCCG